GCATGAAATATTTGCTGTCTTTTAACCTTGTGTTTACACGTGTACTTTGAAATATTTTCTCAACTTTTGATTTCTTTATACGAGTTTATATAATATTTAAACCTAACAGGATATATAAAAATCAAACATTTACTCCAATTTAAGAAAGAGAAAAGATAAATTTGTAAAAACAGATATATTTTACGTAGAAATACAGAAATATCATGTTGCTATCTCCGATATTCATGAAGTATAAACTATATAAATTGAAATAAAAATTTTATATTGAAAAATTGTTAAAATATTTGCCTTAGTTTAATTTTAATTATCTCTCTTTTTTTATTTCTCATTATTATACATTACCAATTTTATTTAACTTGATAATTTAATCAACTAATTAATAAAAAAATTAATTTAATCAATTAAATATAATAATATATTTTATTTTTAAATTGCTGAAATAAAATTATTAATATATCACGTATTCATACGTTCTCGGTTGCAATTTCTAAAAATTTTACGTAATGCATAAGAGAGCTTGGTAAAAAATGTAAAAAATAATATCTTTAACAGATCTAAAGATATTTTTCTTTTTACGGAAATCTTATTTACCATTTTAGTTTTTGAACTCTATCACTTTTTTCTCGAGCTTACCGCAGATCTCATATATTCTGTCTTTTTTATTTGCGCTTGCAAGTTTGTGCTTTCAAACGTAGACGACTTGATATCTCGTAAGTATATTTTATCGTAATATTATAATTGTGTAATAAGATACCAAAAAAACAATATGTGACAATATATAATATATTGATATGATAAGCTTTATTTTATAAGCTCTATATATGTGCGCTTTTTTGTATGCACAAGAAATTAAACGATTGCATATGTTTCAGGCTTAAATATTAACAGTAATCTGTTTTAGTCCATATCCATTTTTAAACAATAAATTTGTGAAATGTTGTAATTATATCTGTAATATTTTTATGCTCATAACTTGTTAATTTTTTAATCTTTTTAAAAGAAATTTAAGGGAAAAGATTTTATATTTTACAAATCCTTTACCTCAAAATTAAAATAAAAATGATTTAGTGCTCATTGACACGCGATGCGCAACAGCGGAGTTATAATTTACATAGTGATCTGTAAAATAAAAAGGTATATGTAAATTATATACAAAAATGCTAAAATAATTTTAAAAATAATTATTATGCGCAATAAAGTTTTTACTCATCTCTCGACAAAATATTTAATAAAACAATAATACAATTATTGGAAAAATCTGATTCTTATATAAATATTTTGAAACATTTTGAAATAATTGTAAATATTAAATATAGTAATAAAAATATTTACGTCGCGGAGATAAATGATTAATATATCTAAAAATAGCTAGGAATAGATAAATAGCAACTTATCATAAAGTTGCTTCACCGATGTCTGATGCCACCTGGGACCTCCTTCTCGTTTCAGTCGTGACATTTATTCGTGAAACTATGACGCAAAATGCTTTAAATAACGCTCTCAACATTAACCACATTCCCGACACGTCTTTGTCTCATTATGACAAAGAAATACTCAAAAAAGCACGATCGCACAAATTCGTTCGAAGCAGGCAAAAGAAAATCGCACGTTTAATTTGCGCGTTACTCGCCGTGACTGTGGTACTTTTCCGCGGTTAGCGTTAAAATATGTTATTTTCCTTTTTCTTGGGATTTACGACGCGGTATCGTACGCGCTGTTGTCCTGCGCGCCTTGCTGATCTTTTGCACGACTATGCTATCAAGCCGACTCACGACGAACAAAAGAATCACTTTTTTTCATCTCATTATTATCTTACAAGTGATCGCGACGAATATTGGAAGATTATCTCCTACGTGTAATTACGAAATAATAGTTTTCGCAGCGAAATTAATTGCATAATTTTTTATTTACTCCGTAAATTCATTGCTGTTTGCTTCACGAATATTAAACGGATTGTAGCTCCGTGCTATTCCAAATTACATATTTCTTCGGCGTAATAAGAAACTTCTTTGTCTCGCGAAAATACGACGATTGCGCGACACTTTGAACAATACTCACGATATTAATCTCATTCTCGACACGTACTTTCTCTCCTTACGACGAAAGAAATATATAACTCGGAAAAGTACAGAGTTAGGATTCGTTCAATACTCGCGAAGCGAACGACGACGAAGAAAATTGGAAAATTACGCGTTTAATTTTATCGTGAAAACTATTCATCGGTCATTATACGTAGAAAATCTTTTAATATTTTTCGCGCCAACGATTTATGAGATAACGTGATGGTAGAAAAGATTCTTTTGCTGTGAGCGAAAAAAAAATTTACAAGATGCTAACGCGTAGGCAATAAACACGACGTATCATGTCGCATCGTAGCTCACAACAAAATATAAACAAACATAGCTTCGACGATAGCTCGCGGCCCTGTTTTCATTCTGATTTCTGAGAATTACGATGTGCGCGCGTGTTGCTTACTATGACTGCGTATTAACATTTCGGTATCATTCATACATCACGCAAGCGGAAAGATTGCGAAAGAAGTCGCTCCGTATTACTATAATTGCTTTATTACTTTCCAAATCGCGACGAATATTGTAAAATTACTTTCTTACATTAACAATAAGCCAACGATTTGCCTGCAACGAATGCCTGCGAATTTCGAACGAATTCGTGCAATCGTGCTTTGCCGAGTGTTTCTTTATCTACAATGACATAAAAATGCGTCGAAAACACGGTTAATATCGGAAGTTTATTCATTTATTTATCGTAACTTCACGAGTGAGTGAGTGAATGAGTGCCATGACTGAGAGGAGGAGATCCATGGGACATCAGGCATCGGCGGAGCAACTTTAGTGTAGTTAATCATTTTATCATTTGTTATTAGCTAGTTTTGGGATATATATGAATCATTTGATTTTGCGACGCAAATATTTTGATTATATATTTAATATTTTATATAAAAATTAGATATTTTAATAATTGCGTTATTGCTTTATTAAGTATTTTTTCGAGAAACGAGTAAAAAATTCAATAAACGTAATTTTTAAAATATTAATTATTTTTGAATATAATTTAATAATTTGAATGAATATATTTTTCTCTTACAGATCAACTTGCAAACTACAACTCCGTTGCTGCGCATCGTGTTGGTGAATATTAAATCATCTTTGATTTGAATTTTGAGATAGCAAAAATCATATTATTTATTAGGTTCATTAAAAACTGCTTTTTTAAGATAGTAGATACAGGTTTTTTAGTAGCAAAAATCAGCACGAATTGTTCAAACAATCCAGATGAATATGTAATATCAAAAAAGAGTTGAAAGATTAAAAACCTTTTCTTGAAGTGCAAAGCATTAGTTTCTTTCGGATTTTAAACAGATTAGAAAATTAACAGATTGAAAATATAGTAATATTATAAATAAATATAATATCTCTCAGATCCGTTGCCTTAACATGGATCGGCTGGAATAGAATTATTCAATTTATTATGTGCACGAAGAAGAGCACAATATAGAACTCATTTCATCAATAAATTATTTGTTGACACATTTGACATCTGATTACGTAATAAAATGCAGACAAAAATTTTAAAAAACGAAAAAAATCAAATCTTTTAAAAACGTCTTTTTACTTTTTGGCTTTCTTTCGATACGGTATTAGAGTAGGTACTTACAAAATAACAAATTGCCTGCATACCTATAAATATATATAGCCATGAAACAAACAGAAAATATTTTATAGCTGAAGCAAGCTCGGTAAAAAGTGATAGACTTGTAAATGACAAATAATGTGATATAATGTTTTCACAAAAAGAGCATTTCCAAATTTGTTAAAGATATAATTTATTTAAATGATAGTCATATAAAATATAAAACGCGATAGGAAAAATTATTTAGGTGTGTTAATTTATTTCTCCTTTCTTTCCTTTTCCTAACAACGGTGATTGATTTTTTAATATCCTTTCAGAATTAAATATGTTATAAATTGGTGCAAAACAAAAGCGATATTCTCAGATAATTTTATAAAATGCGGTCGACTGATTTATGTGACCAACTCATTTATGTGACAAACTAATTTATATAACAGAAAAATATTTTTACGATTAATGATTATTAATTGTATTTATTTTTACAATGCGTGAAATACATTTTTTGATCATAAAATATTCATTTTAGAATTACAATTGTTTATCTTTTATTTTTTTATCTGTATAATTTAAATAAAGAAATCTAATATAATCCATACAGCACACATATCCAAAGACATTCAGAAGATATCTTGAAGATATCTTTGAGAGATACGATATCTTCGAAATGTCCTCCGAACGTCCCCCGGATATGCTGTGTGGGAATTTAAGTTGTTCTGTGCACGATGCATTTCTGATTCATGATTTATAACACAAACATATGTCAAAATATTTTTGCTGGCAGTGTAGAAAAATGGATTGACTGTCTGATTCTAATTCTAGTAAATGCTAGTGGTAGTGATACTTAATATTGGAAAAAAGACTTATAAAAATTTCACGACAAATGGTAAAGTAGCTGTTCTCATGTTTTTCTTTGATTGTGACAAAGGGATTGAAATATGGCGACATAAGAATTTGTCGTCATTATTGATATTAATAATATAGCATTAAAGGCTTGTGTGATTCTCATTAAAAGCTCGCAATTATTAATGTAGATCGATATGATGCAGGGATAATAAGAGAACTGTGACAAGGCCAATCGACAGCGTTTTAGTAAACATACATTAGCTCGGTTCTACAAAACACGAGTATAATAAAATTATAAATTATAAATTAAACACTTGATAGGATTAATATAAAGGCAAAAGTATTTTAAGTCGAGAAAATATCACTGTCTAATGCCAAAGTGATTGACGTTTACGATGAGAAAGATTTATCTTACGTTCTCTATCATATCAAATATAAAATTAAAGCAATATGAAAACTTTACTAGTAGAGGATACAACTAATTATAGAAAGACAATATCACATACCTTTGGCAATGTGCTGGAGCTGTATATATCTGCATTACTCGCTGTATTTCGGTATTTTGCAGTACTCTTGTATTTCGATGGGGAAATAATCACATGAAGTATCCGACGAGGTTTTAGTCAATTCCGGGCACACACAGTAATTGTCAACACTGAAATTATAATATTGACGTATAATAGAGGGATTGTGAGCGATAGGCAATACGTGACGACACATTTATAAAATATTCGCGATTAATTTTCGCACGCGAGATTTATTTTAAAACAGTAATAATTGCGAGAGCAATCTTAATCCGATTCTGCAATAGCGGCGTGTTCTGAAGCTAACTACAATTCTATCGAAATGTGTGTGTGTGTATTTGTGTGTATGTGTGTGCAACATTGCAACTTGAATATTTGTAACGGACAGTTCTGTTGAAATGATTGGGCAATGAATCAACTATGATTAGTTATGTTCGTTTTGATTGCACTTTCTGCATTATCATGAAATAATATTTAGCTGTTAGTAAAACAAATATACATTTAAGCAAAAAATGTAATTATATAGGTTAGGTTATATTTTCATTTATCAACTCTTTCGACACAACGCGACGCAACTTTGTAATTATACATGTAAATATATATATATATATATATATATATATATATATATATATATATAAATGTATACATTAAATATATATTATACATGTAAACATACATTTAGAGAAAAAGAACGCAAGGATAACAAATATGAAAAGTAATTATAAAACGAACAGAACTATTATACATAGAAATCAAATTCAATATGTCTTGAAATAGTTGAAATAATTGACTATTACGAAAAGTATAATATTGATGTGGATAATTATAAAATAATCTAGGTTTATATGGTGATGATACTGCAATCATTACGTTTTTATTGTAGTTTGATAGAAGAATAGGTTAAAATATGTAGGTATACGAAAAGACTCGCTTCTGAATACGTGGAATTCAATCGCGATTATGGCACATAATTACAATTACATACAGTGCTTACCTTAGGCTTTACAAGATATTTCTTACAACTTTTTGGTCACGATATTCACTTTAAAATAGTAAAATCACGAAAGATTCGGAGCGATCCAAATCCAACTCTACAACTCTACAACCGACACGAAGTTAACTACGATTTGGAATCTATCGAAGTGCAGCATTGTAACCTTTAAATGCTTCTAGCTTCTAGCAATGTGACAAAGGTTGCAGTGTGACCAATTAGAGTAATGGTATGTTCATTTTAATTATACTTTCTGCATTGTCATGAAAGAAATATACGAAAGTCTCTAGAGACAGAAAATGCAAAAATAATAAATTATGAAAAATACAATTATAAAATGAACGAAGCTATTATTTATAACAAAAATAAAACTCGAAATATCTTGACAAGTATTAGAAATGCTTGAAATAATTGATTATTATGAAAAGTATAATTGAAGCAGCTAATTATAGAATAATTTATGTTTATATCTGGCAATACATTATATGTATTCATAGCACTTTTATTCCAGTTTGAATAGGTTAAAACATATAAGATATACAAACAAAATATTTGTTGATTTTGTCCCCACAGCATGCATATTTGGGGGATGTTCAAAGGATATCGTGTCCCAAAGATATTGTATCTCTCAAAGATATCTTCGGCATGTCTTCTAGATATCTTTTGGGTATGTGCTGTGTGGATGGATTCAGAACACGGTATCAAAATCACGATATTGGATAATTACAATTCTACACGCTTACCTTACAAAAAACAATTTATAAAATACTTTCCACAACTTTGTTCACATGAGATTTACTTTAAAACAGTAAAATTGCAAAAAATACAAAGCGGTTCAAACTCCACTGTACATACCTGCTCTATTGTGGCGCGTTCCATCCCTAACCACAATTCGAGATCTATCGAAGTACTCAGCGTATTCAAAATCGAAACAATTGAGATAGCACACTGATCACAGTATTTATATAAAATATATAAAATTCGAATTATTTTAATAGTTATAAAAATGACCAAAATAGTGAATTAATTACAATAATTTTTATCTGTCTTATATTTCTCTTATTACCATCTGTACTTCCTTTAGCGTACGACTTTCTATTCTAGCCGCAATATTTTCTGTGGCGTTAGTGCACAAGACGTTTATCAAGCTAAAGCTAAAATTTCCGTCAGTGGCGTCCATGGCGTCAGTACAGTTTACGAACCAATCAAATTATGTTCAATCGCGCCAAACAGAACTGTCCGTTACAAATTTATTTATTCTAATCTTTATCAATTTCAGCAAAATTTGTATATACTTGTCATTTATTATTATCAAAATTATTTAAAATATATTATCATCTATAACTTTAAATAATTCTTAGCAAGTGATATGCATTGTTTGCAAATTGTTTGTACAAAGTAAAATTATTTTAATTTATGTGCTTAATGAGTACCTTTTTTGGCAATTAGATTGATTTTTGGTTTGATTGAATGCAAACTTTTAATTTTCTACCTATCTGTTAAACTGTTACAAATTTATATATATGGCATAATTCGATAGAATTCTGATGATTATAAAAGCAATTGTTTACTTGGAATACATTCGATGGAATATAAAAGTGTGTATAAATATACATCTAAAAATTTAGTGGTTCTGACAAAATGATATATTCCAAGATTTTTACTCTTTGGTTTTTGTTCTTTATTATTCTTGGAGCATTAGCCAGTAATGGTAATATGGTTTTGAAAGAATTGGGAGAAAAGGAATATTCCTTAATAAAAGGTAAGAAGCTAAAGAAAATAAAAACTATTAAACAATAGCTAATAGGTTCAATTTTTTTTAGCAAAGTCATCATTGTCACAACATGGAAAATGTTGGCATGCTGCGCTCCAAGCATTGGAAAGCAGCTGCGACAAATTAAATGATTATGAGCATTCTGTTCTTGCTTTGCGCTTAGCAAATTGTTTCTTGGAAGATTCTGGTCACATGACCTATGAGTGTCACCTTAGTCAATCAGAAAATGAGCGTCGGTAAGATAAATACTTCTTAACACAAATGATTTGCCTATGCTATTCTTGATCTTGTAATGAAATTTGTTAATATTTATTTTAGCAAATGCATTAATGGCATGGCAGACAGAGCGTTTAATGTTTACAATGAATTTTATACTCATGCAACTCATATTTGTTTCTTTTTGAATCATGAAGCTTGGCAAAGTGAGGTTGATGATACCATTAAATTGTAAGTGTAACATTATATTTAATATTTTTCAGATAATTCAATATTTCTATGTATATATATAAAATTCTAGATTATTTCAAGTATCTTCCCGAATGAAGGATCAACTTTTAGAAGCATCAGAAATGCAGGGTATAATATTGAACAGCCAGAAAGAAGGCTTGCGTATTCAAAACAAGCTTTTAGATCATGGCAAAGAACTTGGGACTGTATTAAAAACTTCATCTGAGACAGTGAACAATATGGTGTTGGATTTCAAGTAAATCCAGAGATAACTCACGATATTTAAATTGAAGTTGTAATTATTGTAAACTCGTACTTAGAAACTCTTGATGAAATTTTAGAGAATCAGCTAAAGATCAGAAGGAATTGCTTTATGAGATCTTCTCTTACATACGCACTTTTCAAAGCTGGATTATCGGAGAAGTGTCTTGGTTCCAATCCATCATATTTTATACTGTCAGCTGTATTATCTGTGCATTATTCAGTTCTTCTAAAAGAACTGTTGATGCAAGAATTGCGCTGTTTACTATTTTAAGTTTAAACATAGTAGCTGAAAGAGTATTAGTTAAATATTATGACAATATTATACATCAGTCTCCAGAAGATAAGGTAATATAAGATATAATATAATATTAGAAAAATCTAAAATAAACTTTTATCAAGAAAGAATTTTTATCATCTATAATTTTTTTATAGGAACAACTATTAAATACAACATGGTTGTACAGAAAAGCAGCTTTAGTACTTTGTGCCATAACGTTATTTTGTACATATTATTATTATAGAGATGAACAATTGGAAAATAATAAAACTTTACAGAGAATCGAGCACCAGCTTGATGTCATACAGAAAATCACAACCATCTCCAAAAATATTGAACCAATTCGTGAGTACTTAGTATATAATCACTTTATAATCTAATTAAAATTGTATGCATTTAAAATAAATAATTATTTAGGTTACTCCAAGCGACTGGCATTGAAGCGTTCACATGTCATTTCTGATAAACAGGAAAATATCACAGACATTAAAAATACTGAATAATTATTAATTAATATTTTCATATTTTAAGGAATTTTAAGAACAGTTTAATATATAACTATTGTATAATGAAAGATGTAATTCATAATGTTTATGAATATTTTTTTATATATTTACATGTATATGTGTACGATTTAAACCTTTTTACAATATATATTAATACCTTAATGAAAGAAGCACTATACTGTTGGATATCTTCGTAAGAGATACGTAATTTGTTTGTGTGTCTGGTGTTTGCTGTTAGGTACAGGTGCTAGTTGTTCTTGTTCTACTTGTGAATGCTGCATCTTCTTTAAGTAAATGTTATAGCAATCATTTAATTTGTTAAATTCTGGAATACATCTTTTGTCTTCAAATTCATTTTCTTCCAAACAGGTTAAGAGCAAAGATAATTCATACAAACATCCACGCTCTGAAATAAAAAATATCGTAAGTGATAAAACAACAACAACTAAATAGTTGTAAATCTTAAGAATGCAGAAACATACCCATTGCTGCTTGACTCTTGGAGGTTACATGCTCCTTCAGTTTTAATGATAGGAGCGCCTTAAAAGGTACTTTGTTTTCATTTTGGGGTTTTCTGGAGTTACGAAAGAATATTGACGTCAATCTCATCTTTCTGTGAAATAATATAAAATTATGTTCTCTGTGGTAAGGTTAAGATTCTCATGTATGAAATTAATGATATTAATATTGAATACTGAATTACTGCATAGCTTTTTGCATTAATATACGAACGACTGCAATTATGTGTATTAGAACATAATTACAGAACATGTTAACGAATATTTACATGAATAATTTTATTCAGTTTTCACTTACATAAAAAATTATAGAGAATGCTGCTACACCGCTGCAACAATTTCACTGCATTACCGATTGATTTTTATTTCATCAAACAGTGCAACACATGCAAGCAGGTGGTGCCACCGTGTGATTTAACTGGTTCAATTGTGTGTATTCTCGTTCGCAATATAAAGCGCAAAACTATTATTGAATATGTTACAGAAAATTACAATCATTATATTATAGTGCGTGAACATTAAGGTTTATCTTTTGAACTTATGATAATTCTCTTTACAAATATAATTTCGTATATTTTCCTCATTTTCTCGTTTTGTAGAGCATCAGTATGTATATGCATTTTATTTATTCTAAATTCGTAATACAAATAATTCGTAATACAAATAAATAAATTTTAGGAGAACACATAAAGGAAAAAGATCGCAAAAATTGTGTTAAGAAGCAATCAAAATTGAATAGTGATCTATTGCCTGTCACGTCATTTTTATCGCGATGATAGGAAATCGAAGAATGATTCGCGTTCGATAGAAATTGCGAATGCGAATGAAAGTGGACAACAGTGATTTTAGATGGCGGAGGGGATCGTGGAGTACGAATTTTAGAAGAACACGAAAATATAGCGTGATCAGTATCGTTCGAGATACATCGTGCAGCGCTTAACCTCAAAATTGCGCATGACAGTGTCGTTTTGGCGGCAAGGTCATATATCGCGTTGGAGATATTCTTGCTGCAAAAAAAAAAAACAAGTTCTGTTGAGTGGACGTGAAAGGAAATTTTTACATTAATCAAGAATGGCAGGATTTAAGCAGGTGCAAGAACCAAGGATGGCAGGATTTAAAAGAAGTAAGTTCTTGTTATTTAACGTTAACCTTTTATGATTACAGATAATGTGCACGTAATTCTTGTTAAGTTGGAATTAATTTTGCATTGTTGAATTAATTTGGCAAAACAAATTTATATTTGATAAATAATTATGACAATCATGTTACTGTAAAATTTATCTCGTAAATGTAACCATTTGCATTCATTTAATATCTGATAAATAGCCGACTTAATCAGCAATCGTTTAGCGAAATGTTCAATGTAATGCTTAAAATACATTAGCATATTTATTCAAAGTAAAAAAATGAAATAAAAAAAGTCAATAAGAAAGCAGTAAATTTTATTAAAGCATTTAATCATCGACAATAAATGATGCGATTTTTGTGTATAGCAATTTATTTGAAATTTCGCAGTGATAACAGTATGACTTCAAGGCCGAAATCTCATTCCTTTCTAGATAAAATTAAATGAGTAGAATACGGGTTTCGGAGATTAAAGCGTGACGATCGTGCGCGTTATGCGAAAACTCGACGATGATAATATCGTACGATGTATTTTTGCAATTATCTTTTTTTAACCGCGTAACGCTACGTAACGTTTAAAAAAAAATTTACTCGCACGATAATGATAGAATATTTATTTATTATTACGCAAATATGTATTATCACGTAAATATTTATTTATTATCACGCAAATATTTATTTATTATCACGCACATATTTATTTATTATCACGCAAATATTTATTTATTATCACGCACATATTTATTTATTATCACGCAAATATTTATTTATTATCACACAAATATTTATTTATTATCACGAGATATTTTTGGAAATTTTAATCAATTTTATATAATTTGATTCATATTCATCGCAAATAAAATTTTCAATTTTTTATTGATGAATTTTTATAAAGATTATGAAACTCAGATATGAATTATTAATCATTGTTAACGATGAAGATGGATTAAAATTTGTTTTTTATTAATTAAATGTTAAGTGTAGTAAAGCATATGAATTATTTATTGTAGAAATCTTAATAAATCTGAGTAAAAATATAGAATATTCGTAAAAATTTACAATATTATATTTTGGCGGTCAACAAACATTGCAAAAATCACAGATATTTTCAAGAAATAAAAATATTATTTTTGAATTATAAATATGATTCGATTTTCGAAATATTATATCTCAAACGCACAACTAAGAACAAAGAATAAATACAATAGAATGGAATAGAAAACTTCTTTTGTCGCTGATTTGAAACTTGACGCTTTGAAATCAGAGAAAGGTGCATCGCTCGACTGCTCTAGATTCTGACATAACTTTACAAAGCATTTCGTAGCCGCGAGCGTAATTCATTTCGGGTCAGCACGAAAAGTAGGCTGCGTCATTAATATAACGCCAGAAGCATGTGTAAGCAACAATATTGCACAAGTTGAATTATGTTTCTGACTATTTGTCGTTTATGGTGACTGTCTTTCGTAAGAAGAATGCAGTAACATTGTCAGTGTGTCAGAATGCACTTTTAAATAAATAAATTTGAAACGAAAAGAAAATTTTGTCCTTTGTTATGTCGTTTATTATCTTATGAACGTTAAACGTTCGCGCGTAATGATTGATCTTGTATAATAAATAATATTTGTAACACTAATAAGAGATACGAAACGGACACAAATATTTGTTGACAAAAGAAACAAGGCACTGTTAAAAACCGAATTGAAATTATTCCTTGCTGCTACTACGTCAACGTGTAATCGTCTGTTACATCTTACGTACATTTCAAGTGACCTAGCAAAAATTTAAATTTTAAATTATCTTATATCTTTGTCGATATGTTCCGATGCTTAACATAATTTATTCTTTCGATCGTCACACACAATATTGAGGATTTAAGAGATCGCTACAATTGCGAATTGATATTTTATGCTTTATTTACCCGAACATAATTGTTCTTCTTGATAGAACATTTATATTGGCAAATACAGAGAACTGTAATAGCTTGAATTATAAATACGGCAATTTGGTAATATATGTAATATGCAATCTTATCAATTGTAATTATTTATAAAAATAGAAGCATTTCTTGTTTGATTGAATCGTGCTTGCGTTTCGTCAGTATTGATAAAACTTTTTGCTGTCACAACAGAAAAATGATGTCAAATTGCCATGAAATTCCTGTCGATTCAAATTAATGTACTTTTTCGAACTCTTAATTCATTTTCGATTATTATAATTGTTATTAAGTTAAGTAGAAATCATTTATTGAACCACGGATGATCAAGTAAGTTAGCATTAATCGAATCACATGATAGTGAAATTAATTGTCGGCTAAATTTTAAGCTCGCTCTTGAGGAAAACTTATTACATTGTAATGCGTAAAATGTAATTGACGTATCGCATTCGTGACACTCGCGATGAGAGCAGTTCATTCTGTTTTGCCAGTCATCATTGTCATAAAACACTCGATATACTTCCATGTGCATTATTTATGTTTTGTTTCTACTATAAACGCTCGTTGCAACATTCTTCAGATGTTTCGTAAAATTTATTTTAATTATCTTTCACGTTTTATTGCATTTCATAAGATATTTGTTAAAATGTAAGCAATATCATAAATGTTGACGATTTGTATATCGTTTTTTGTTCACCGTAATTGTTTCATGAATGGAGATACACGTATGTTATCATTTGGAAACTTTCTTAGACACCGTAATCTATATCTGTTCCATATATTGGCTATCAATTTTCGTATTATTCTCTTGACGTCCTTGACCATCGTATTAACACATAAATCGCTGTTATGTAATGTCGCGTGATCGTTCTATCGCCTGTAATGTTCTCGAAATTAGTCAGTCTGCAGACAGGTATTCTCGTTTCTTATCCGTTAGTATAGTTCTAACGATTCGCTGACGCTTTTCTGTTTATGGAAATCGTTTACACGAATTGCAGAAGGTTTGTTCGAGCTTAGGCACGTCATGTATATTATACACTACATAAAAGTGAGACTGAATCATTACCATACAATACATCGTATATGTTAATATATTACTATATTACTACATTTGTGTAGAAAAAGAAAAATACATTTTACATCTTTCTCAATTAGACAAGCAAAGATATTCGAGCACATGACAGCAAGCAAAATCTTAAAAATCATGCAATCAGATTTATCGATAGGAGAACTTATCGCTCCAAGAACTTTCATGTGCTAGATAAAAATTCATTCGCACTTGCATCTGCGAAGAAGGAGAAAGAGGAAAAATGTCAATCTTTATTTACTTGGCCAACCATCAAACCGATATCAATGAATCTCCATTTTTACATGATGTAACTTCTGCATCTACGCTCTGCTGATTCATCCGAGATAACTGACAATTGAAGAAATGAAAAATGATTAGGCAATTTATTTATCAGAATCGTTCACGGTTCTCTCGTAAGCGTTCACATTTTTATAGCGGCGCAAGGCACACGTGCGAAGTCAATTCGACGCTTATTGTCAGTCGTGGTTCTGCTAGCGACGCGGTAGAATCGTTCGAAGAGGAATCGGCAGGAAAGCGAACAGTGCCAATAATCCATCGATCTCATAGTTTTTTTCTTTTTTATGCGAAGTTGTTGTTCAGAAACCATGAGTGTCACAAAGAATATGTTGCGTAAGTGCGAAATTATGTTTGTGTCGATTATTTTTGTGCGATTAAAACATGTTGGTTTAAATTGTGCCGTTCGAATAATTAGTTTATATTGATCAGTCATACGACATTGTATCTTGGTAATTACATTGCTCAGCAAAATTCAAGTTTTTTTTGTAGAAACAGCAAAAACTTTCAATTTTTCAGTCTCACGTGCACCTAATTTAACTAATAATTAAAAAATAGCAATAGTTTTACGTAATTAAAAAAAAAATTATTTAATGTTATGTTCAATGAAAACGTCAGCTTCTTTGCATGCAATGCGCGTGAGAAATCGAGATATTACTACCTACACTTTCTATAATTACACTTCCTATGATAAATATCTCTCCGCGATTGACGTCTTACCGCAAAATATCTTTATATGCTTTCAACGATAGAAACAAATGCAAATAATCACACGTAGTATTTATTTTGTATAAAATGAAATATAATTGTATATAATTGAAATAGTAACATTGAAATTTAATTTATGTGTGACGTAGTTTCGATCATCGTACGATGAGAAAAATATGTACATACAAATGCAAATATGACACTTGACTACGTTGAATATCATGAATATATAAATCTCATACAATAGTATAGCAGCATAGGCATAATTTCACTTCAAAGTTTTCATTACTTATAATTTATTAATTGTACAAATTGTACAACGGATAAACTTCCGAAAAGCTATCACCTCCGATTTGGCTGGTTTTCAGCCTAAATACTTATTTTATCTAGTAAATAATATTCCCAAATGGATTTTTGGCGCAAATGCCCCCCACCCGTCCTCAAAGATAAAACTGTTTTTGTTAATTATTTCAGAAAGTGTTCATTGTATAGAAAAAGTTGTCTAACAAAAAATGAAACTCATAAAATGCTCTACAAATAAGGTCCTATACATATTTTACTTAACCCCAATATTTTAGCCGTTATTATCAAAAATCTGGAAGCAGTGTGTTCCGTCTCTCTGCAGAGGGCTCCACCATAAAAAAAACTATACACATAGGGTTTGGATTGAATCTCGCTTTGCGTAGAAAGTCGTAAACGCACGTGGAATCTCGCTTTGCGTTGTAAAATGTAAGTATGCATGGATGCAGTGGGTGCCGCTCCTCCTGTGGTAGCTTTTACAAGTTTTTTGATAATAACGACTAAAATATTGGAGTTAGGTAAAATATGTATAGGATCTTATTTGTAGAGCTTTTTATGGTCTTCATTTTTTGTTTGACAACTTTTTCCGTACAATAAATACTTTCTGAAATAATTAACAAAAACAGTTTTACCTTTGAGGGAAGCTGAGAGGGCGGAGGGGACATTTGCGCCAAAAATCCATTTGGGAATATTATTTACTGGATAAAATAAGTATTTAGGCTGAATATCAGCCAAATCGGAGGTGATAGCTTTTCGGAAGTCCACCCAAATATACTATATTCAGTAAACAGCAAGCAAGACATTAAATAGCATAATAAAATTGCATAATAAAAATAACAATAAAAATATACAATGTACTATATGTGAAACTAAATGAACAATGTTTATTGCTATTGTAGAGACGTCAACAGAAGAGAGCCTGCAGTATATCAGGCAATCCTTAAAATCGGAAGAAATGGATCATTTAGAGGGAACTCATTTCGACATTCTTATTCCACATGTGTTTGTCACTCTTGGCGCATCCGTGAGTTCATAATTTTGATAACAATATAAAATATGCTAGTAGAGTAATACAATTTATTATTTATACTCATGCATGCCTGCTTATATAGATTGCACTTTTCGACTATCAACACATAAAATTTAGCTTTTATATACACTTTAATAGACAATTTCTAATAAATTCGATAATTATAACAATAACGAGATATTAATTTGTGCACACAAATTCCCATCATATCCGTATTTTAAATATTTCGCATTTGTTGATGACAAAAGGGTGATCTGGCTAAGAAGAAGATCTATCCAACTCTCTGGTGGCTCTTCCGAGACAATCTCTTGCCGAAACCCACCGCCTTTGTCGGCTACGCCAGAAGCAAATTGACGGTGGAACAATTGCGTGAAAAGTGCAATCCGTACATGAAAGTAAACCCGGACGAGACGGAGAAGTATGAAGAGTTTTGGAAGCTGAACCATTATGTCACTGGCACGTACAGCTCGCAGAAGGATTTCGAGCTGTTGAATCGCGAATTACAAAAGTATGAACAAGGACACACCGCGCACAGGCTATTTTATTTGGCACTACCACCGAGTGTGTTCGAAAGCGTGACTGTACACATTCGAAGCGTCTGCATGGGGAAGAAGTAAGTGTGAACTCTGAACTCTGTGTGGAATTCTTTATGTAGAACAAATAGCACATTAAGAAAAAAATGTATCAAAATTTATTTCTGAAATAATTTGTTTAATTGACGAGTCAAGGAATTTTTTAAATTAAAAAAAAAAATTTAAGCTAAAATAACATTTCAGAGGCTGGACGAGAATAATCATCGAAAAGCCATTTGGTCATGATTCCGCCTCGTCGCAGAAGCTCTCCGATCATTTGGCCTCGCTGTTCAGCGAAGAGCAACTCTATCGCATCGATCACTATCTCGGCAAGGAGATGGTGCAGAATTTGATGACTCTCAGATTCGGGAACAGAATATTCAATCCTACATGGAACAGGGATAATATAGCTTCGGTGCAGATTACTTTCAAGGAGCCGTTCGGTACTCAGGGTAGGGGCGGCTACTTTGACGAATTCGGCATGATCAGGGACGTAATGCAGAATCACCTACTGCAAATCCTGTCCCTGGTAGCTATGGAGAAACCCGCGTCCTGCCATCCGGACGACATCAGGAACGAGAAAGTGAAGGTTCTAAGATGCATCAAGGAATTGCAACTTGATCAAGTTGTTCTTGGCCAGTATGTCGGTGATCCGAACGCTGACGATGCGGAAGCGCGCTTGAGCTACTTGGACGATCCCACGGTGCCACCTGGATCTAACACGCCGACGTTTGCTTTGGCGGTGCTGAAGATAAACAATGAGAGATGGGACGGGGTTCCGTTCATCCTTAGATGTGGAAAGGGTAAGCAGACAGAGATCTATTTCTCAGCAAATACAAAAGCATCTTAATTTAATCGTTGCACATTGTAGCTTTAAACGAGCGAAAAGCAGAAGTTAGAGTACAGTACCAGGATGTGCCGGGTGATATTTTCGACGGGAAGGCGAAGAGGAATGAATTAGTGATAAGAGTGCAGCCGGGCGAAGCATTGTACATTAAAATGATGACGAAGTCACCTGGCATCACGTTTGACATGGAAGAAACTGAATTGGATCTAACTTATGGCAATAGATACAAAGTAAAAAAAATTAGTCTTAAAAGAGAAATAAAAAATAAAAAAAGAGATACGAATATCTTATACTTTTTTTCCAGGATTTAAAATTGCCGGACGCTTATGAGAGATTAATCTTAGATGTTTTCTGCGGTTCGCAAATGCATTTTGTGCGGAATGACGAATTGCACGAGGCGTGGCGAATATTTACACCCTTGCTGCATCGAATTGAAAAGGAGAATGTTCAGCCACTTCCATACAAGTATGATATAATGTTTATTAATATATAGATTCTACATTGTAGAATAAAATGCGCAAAAAAATAAAATTCCTTATATGCGTATTTATCTGATTGTTCGTTCAAAATTTCAGATATGGATCCAGAGGGCCGAAAGAAGCTGACGATTTGGCGAAACAAAACAACTTCGCTTACTACGGTTCGTACAAATGGATAAAACCGTGATGGCTACTGTGATATAAGAATTATATCGCTTGAGGTACAAATCCTAAGAAATCCACAAAGGTTTAAATATGCACAATTTTTGATTATCACATTCCCAAAATTTTGACAAATTTTGTATACTGTTGTATACAAACTATTTTTATAATTCTTTTATATACGACATATACTTATCGTTAGAACGTAACTGATGTTATCGGCTAGTTTTTCGTAGACTTTTCGGACATTGTCGTTCAAAAAAACTGTCTGAGACAAGTTTTTAGCGTGCTAGGAATTCGAAAAGTTGCGGAACGATTCTTCACTTTTTTCAGGAATTTTTTATAGGTGTTTTTGTCATTCTTTTTACTCGAACAAATAGAATATTTTGTATCCGCCGTCCCACAGTCGATGTTCTTCTGTTCAGTGTTTAACGAATTAAAGAGGTTTTTTTATCGATAACTAATGTAGATTTTTTGTTGATGGCATAACATGTCAGGTTTTGCGATATCTGGATACTTTTTATCATTTTCTAAGCTATTCTGGGATTTTCTAGGACTTACGAATTATCAATTTTTTTCTTATATATTATTCATAAATTTTTATTTAAATCTTTATCGTGGCGAGCACAAGGACGATAAATGCGTATAGACTGCATTTTCGTACGCTGATAAGACGATGTGTGTCAAGAACGGATAATCATGAAATACTTGCCGCGAAGAACAGTGAAATGTCAAAGAACAGCACTGTCTTCTGTATATTTGTATATCTTTTTTTATCTCGTCTACAACGTTTATTATGTCCGATTTGAATCGCGATCTCGATTCAGGGACATAATTCGTCTTTTATCCAACATTAAGCTCAATATCTTAAGATTCATACAAAGAAATGAATGTCAGATCTTCCTATTTGGATCAGTTTTATTAAACCTTGACAATCGAAACATGGTGCCAATCGCGACATATTGTACAAGTGTCTTTGATAGCATAAATTATTCAGCGCTAGAGATCTGTGTGAGATTATTCGATTATGTGATTATAAATAAACAAGAGAAAATTGAATTGCTGTATGTGTGTATACTTATGCTGTGAAAAACCTTTATTCTAAATGTACTGAGTAAACAGCAATCGATCATCTTGCATCTTATACAGTATCAACTTCTGCGACTCATGATAATCACGCTATTTAACTCTCTCTTTCTTTCTCTCAATCTTATATAAGACCAACTATACATGAATATATAGATACAAATTGATGGCATGATTAACGATGAACCGAAGATATATATATATAATTTATATATATAATAGAGCTATATATATATATATTTTTTATATATGTCTGTGTTATCAAATAGTGCAGACTGGAAGGAAGCAAGATAGTCTTTGCACATGTACATCAAGATTCTTTTGAAGTTTGTATATGTTCATTGCGATAGAAAGGGGTCAAGGACATGTAAAAAAACATATAAAATGTAGGAAATTGAATTCGGCGTGTTAGTATATACCCGAAAATTACGCACATGGTATATTGCATTTACGTAAGTTCGGAATAAAGTATTGTTAACAGCAGAAATCAACATGATTTATTAAAATGTATCCTAAAACTCTAATAATCGTGTATAAGATAAGATTATATATTTATTTAAAATTGGATATCTAATGATAAAAAATGACTACAAGCACTATGTCTGCATTGCACAAAAAGAAATATAAAAGAAATTTGAAATGTTACACGTTCTCCATCAGAAGTTCCCTCGTCTCCTAAATTAGGACCATTCGCCGCGGTGCAAAACTTTGAAATTTCTGCAGTGTCGATATGGCAATGTTTATTTTTATCGTTTGAACACTTCTCACAACGGTACAGTAATTCGTAAAAATGTCGTGATTTCAGGTTTTTTATGATTCAATGAAAGTACGATTTCAATGCGTTTAAGCTTATATAAAACTTAAATCTCACACGCCGTGGGGTCCAATAGTTCGTCCCAATTAATACTCCTCTGAAATACCTCTTGCTGCAGCCATAATTCGTAATGCTGCTTAAACTCCTCAGTCAATTCCACATTCGCACCAAGCACCGACGTTACTGAGGCGTCAATCGGTTCCATTTCTTCGTCTCGCGGTATGTTCGAATATCTTCGGTTGTTGAATTGATCAACGCATGTACGTAGCTCGCACTCTTCGACTTGAAAATCCCATGGTCGCGCTTCCAAATCTGCGTTCAGTGAAATTAAGAGATATATTAACACAAGAATATGTATAATAAATTTTGTATTAAACTTTTTACGAAATCGAAAGAGAAGAAATAAAAACTGAATTCATTACCATTGCCATACGCCCAGTCGTCGTTTAAACGATGTCGAACCTTCGCATAAATGACACTTATAGTTTTCATGTTCGTCTTTCTCCACTGCCGACCGAGATATTTCGTTTGCATTTTCAATAATTTCAAAACGTACAACTGCATCATTGCATGTCTCACTTTCAATGTACGTTTTAAAATAGGTGCGGATTTGAAGACAACTAACATCTGCATGAATCAGATACATTAATAACTGTTCATAAGTACGAACTTAAGTACATATTATAATGTACTTAAGTTCGTACAAATTAATAGTTATTGTCTATTTACCATTATTCTACTGTGCTTCCATTTGGTTAATTTGTTCAAAATTCTTAGTAAATTGATGCAGGAGAAAACATTTCTCCATGAGAAGGACTGACTGTGGCCAATTTCGAGACTCTCGGTAGTTAATTCTGGTTGGTCGCCAATAACGCACATAGGAAAGTCCAAAATAGGAATACTATAACAACATAAATTATTATTGCTCATGATGTGTAACGAGAAATTTAATTTATAGATTATATTTTTACTTACACATTCTTTGCTTCGATATAAGCTATGATGTTCTGATTTAAAAATTTCAACACAAGAGGTATGCAATTAGCGAATACTAAATGCTGCGACATAAATTCGAATTGATAGACGTGGTTCAACTTGAAATGTTTGAGCAACAGCAATAAAATTGCAGAAACGGCTTTAACAATGATCTCCTTATGTCGATTAACATCTATTCCTAATTTCATCGATTGCAGCACGGTCATTCTAAAAACGGGATTCACACACACACAATTAGCCATTAAAGTTTACTATTAAATCACTTATATATTTAACAATTGAAAAAGATAAATTTTATATTTCTTTTTTTCAAAATTGCTTTACATTAGTATTACTCATAATTATTTATACTTACGGCATTTCTTCCGGCAACACATCCGCCAAAATATTAATGCTGTCCGTTTTAGCCTTGCTAGTCGGCGCAGCAGCAAGCAATATTTTTAGCAATGCGATCATGTATTGTGGCAAATTTGGTAATATAGCTTGATAAAGAATTTCTGTCGGTGTCTGACGAAGCGGTGGTTCTGAAGTACTCATTGGGTTTCTGCCAATCTCTTCTTCCTTTTGTATCTGAATTTCCGCTAGGGACGTATACATGTGCTGAAATATTGTTATAACGTTAAATAACATTGCTGATTATTTCTAGTATTATAGATTCCTGACCTAATTCACAATTATGATGACAGAAAAGATGTAAAATACCTTTTTAAGTGTAGTGACACCTTCGTGAATTGGTTGTGGCAAACCTGCTAAACTTTCTCTATCTCCTTGCAATTTGTAACCGACGAATTTCATTCTGGCAACCTCAAGGAAGGTATCCACATCCTTTTGTCTCACTTTGGGTGTCCACGGTAGACCTATAAGTAATATTAAATATTAATACTAGACATGAAAATAATAGAATTAAAATAAGATATTACCTTTGCCCTTAAGCTGTGGAGTACCTGGCCTCAGTTGCGACTGATTATTCTGATCTTCGTAATATGTTTGATTCCAGCCACCAGGGCCACCAGGACCCAGGAATACAATCAGTTCACCATCTCCCTCATTTGTTCCAGTATTATTGGGAGGTTCGCCTCCTTCATATTCCATACCTAACCCTGGATCATCTAACGAGCTTTGTTTCATCAAACTCTGAAAAATATCTGGCGATCAATAGCTGCAAGAACGATGTAATTATATAGGATAGTTCTCAATAAATTACCCTTCGAAAAGGTCGATTGTTTCTTTTCTGGTTTTGCGTTTCTAACAAATCTGCCGCACTCATAGGTGGAGAACTCGCTCTCATTGTTCTTGCGACTTCGATAGTGTCCTCCTGTTGCGTATCAAGACCAGCTTCCTCGCGGTAAACCTTCTTCAAATCTCTTAGTGCGTCAATACCACCAAGAGAAACCAGTATCAATTTCCACAGAAGCAAGAGAACTTTTTTCATGGGGAAATGTGGTGCTGAGCCACTGCAGAAGCATGTCACCATACCGAGAAGCTTCACAATCAGTAATTCTTCTCCATACGGATTTACTGCAAAAGAATATTTACTTGTTAATATTTCGATATTTTAATTTAGCTGTGCAAATTTAGTGATCATTAATGCAATCATACCAAGATCTTCCTTAAAAGCTTCAACATTGTGTTTGTATTCACTGTGCTCGATATCTCTTAATTCTTCTCTCATAACTTCTGTCATAACGTACAAAACGGACAGAATGACTCTTAAGTCTATCGAATCAGCAAGACTAACAGCTAGTTTTCTCATCGCTGAGGTAGCAGTTGTGCTATTTCTAAAAAAATTATTCAACATGTAGAAAATCAAATAAAGATATATATGTTTCAGAATTACACACATACACATATACATACATACATACATATACACATATAAATAATCTTACTCAATTTCAATGTTCAGCAGTTCAACAAACGCCGGAAAAATTCCAACTTCATAGAGTAACATTACGTTGTCCTAGTCCAGTCTTGTTGTTCCTTGTCAGACTGTACCTCAGCCCAACAACCCTGTGCCAAATAAGAATACATCGAGCTGCCTTCATTCTAAGCTGCTTGTTGGAAACTTCCAACTG